TTGGAAAGAGGGAACCTATTATAAGGAACTACATGTGACCCCCTCCCTGGGGGACGGACAACAGAATAGTGGGTGAAGGGAGACATCGGACAGGGAAAGATATGACAAAATATCTTTATAAATTTATAATTTATAAATTATCAAGGGCTCATGAGGGAGGGGGGAGTGGGGAGGGAGGGGGAAAATAAGGACCTAATGCTGGGGGCTTAAGTGGAGAGGGAATGTTTTGAGAATGATGAGGGCAAATGAATATACAAATGTGTTTTACACAATTGATGTATGTATGGATTGTGATAAGAGTTGTATGAGCCCCTAATAAAACGATTTAAAAAAAAAAGAGGCACGGTCTCCAGAGCAGGAACATGGGTACAGATAAGAGCTGGAAACACAGGGAATCCAGGACAGATAAGCCCCTCAGGGCCAATAATGAGAGTAGCAATACCAGGAAGGAAGGGGAAGGTCGGGGGAAATCTACATATAACCTCCTCCCAGGGGGATAGACAACAGAAAAGTGGGTGAAGGGAGACATCGGTCATTGTAAGCCATGAAAAATAAACAATAACTTATAAATTATCAAGAGTTCATGAGGTAGGGAGGGGGAAACAAGGAGTTTATACCAAGGGTTCAAGTAGAAAGAAAATGTTTTGAAAATGATGATGTCAACAAATGTACCAATGTGCTTGACACATGGATGGATGGCTGGATTGTGATAAGAGTTGTATGAGCTCCCAGTAAAGTGATTAAAAAAGAAGAAGAAGAAGAGTTACAGTCTCAGAAACTCACTGGGGCAGTTCTTGCCTGTCAATTCCGTGGCCATGCATTTGAGAGAGTCATCTCTGTAAGCACAGACCATTTTCATCCCTCTCCCTCGGGCTGCTGCCGAGTCCAAACCACTCACCTACTGAGCATGTAACACACAGAACCAGAGTCCCTGAACAATGTGTGCAGAAATTGCCGAACGGGAACCTCAGGGACGATGTCAACCTTCCCCGGAAACACAGTGAGCTATTTAGAAACCAATAAGTTACCCTAGAGAGAATGGACCGTGCCTCAGAGTAGCATGGCTTGACGCCACTCAGGGTCCCACCCACGAAGGGCCCGGGCCCACAGCACCTCCCAAACAAGGTTCAAATGGAACATGTTTCACTTGACCACAATCATTGTAAAAAGGAGATTAGTAGATTGCAAACATATATATATATATATTTTTTTTTTACTTCCATAATTTCAAAAGCCCTGTTGGCCCAGCTAAGGACACGCTCCCTCAGTGTGTAATTTGCATATATATATATATATATATATTTTACTTCCATAATTTCAAAAGCCCTGTTGGCCCAGCTAAGGACACGCTCCCTCAGTGTGTAATTTGCTCCTAATCGGATTTCACATTTGTGAGCTAGAATCACTAGAAAATGAGATCCGTGCATTTATTCTCGGCAAGAAGAACAACGGAAAGATGCCACAATGGCTTCAAACACAGGTCATTCAAGAACCACTGGCTGGGGACCTGCAGAACACAGTGTTCGTGGACAGCGCTTTCAAGAACCGCCACAGAACCGGGTTCCTTAAGGGCAAAGGCTGTGTCCCAGGCCTACCTGTGAGGTAGATGATGCCCAACTCCTGTTTGATGAACGTGTCTTGTAAACTTTCTAACATACATGATAGCAGCAAACAAGCAAGCAATAGTGGCTGTCGAATCAACTCTGACTCACGGAGCCCTCATGTGTGTCCAAGAACTTGGCTCCCTGGGGCTTTCAATGGCTGGTTTTTCCAAAGTAGCTCACCAGGCCTTGCTTCAGAGATACCTCTGGGTTGATTGCAACGTCCAACCTTTCCTTAGCAGCTAAGTAATGGACTGTTTGCATTACTCAGGGACTCTGCCTTAGAGCGAGCCCTGATTATGAGTGGTTATGAGATGGGATGATAACCTCAAGGCTAACTACAAGGTCAGAACTTTGAAATCAACAGCCACTCGATGGGAGAAAGATGTGGCTTTCTACACCTGTAAAAAATTACGATCGCAGAAACCCACAGCGGCAGTTCTACCTGGCCCTACAGGGTCACTGTAAGTCACCTTGACGGCAGTGCAGGAAAAGGACTCTCCTTAGATCTAGCGCAGTCTGACTTCGTTTAATGATAATTAATGGCTACCATTAACCGAGCAGTTACTGGATTCATTTCCTTTTCATATGAGGTCTCCTTTGATTCTCACCAGGAGTCTACCAGCTAGATACGATGATTGCCCTGGGCTTACAGAGGAGGGGTGGAAGCACAAGGACACTGATTAACTTGATGAAGTTAATAACAGCTGACGACAGTACTAGGACTCGAACCAGATTGTGATTCTGGAACCCAGGCGCTTGACCACTGGACCCCATGCTTCCCTCTC